TATAAATGTTTTATCGTAGTCCTTCCCTATTATAGTGTAAGTGGACTCAGTTATATAATATAATAATAAACTGTTTGTCCATTTGCGCACATAACTCGAGGACCTATAGAGATTCATTAGATATTCTGCCGTCATAAAATAGAAGGCCGCAACTTTGTCAAAGTTGATTTTGAGATATTTGAAGCCTTGTCTTACTACTACGTCAAAATCACTACTAGTTTTGACGTAGTTACGATGAAAATGGTTATGGTATCTCCGGATTTATAAGACTTAGACCTTTATGAGTAAGACTATCAAGTAGCATTTTTTTTTGTTGCACTTGAGGGCAGTATTAGGTTTAGAGACTTTTTACTTATAAATGTATCTGCCCATTTTTCAGTAAACTTTTGGTTGTAATAGGTAACCTTAGTTCCTTCTTAGTCGTAACAATTTGAGTTTTTTTTTCTAAAACGAAATCCTAGTTTCGATGCGAGTATCCAAAAACTGTAGTGTATAGTGTCTCAACCCGTCTTAACGTATTTGAACAAAACAAGGGTAGCAAGTTATGCTAACATATTATATATAATTAATACGATATAAAACAACACAACCAAAGTGTCTTAATTTATTACAACTACGTACAAAAACCATTAAAATTATTATTACGTTGAAAAATCTTTACAATGTTTAGTTTTACATTTCAGTAGCACTGAGCCCACTTATAAAAGAATTTTTATAATAATTTTCTATTTAAAACTAAATAAAACGGTAATTTAGATTTTATAATGCGATTATTTTTTTTATAATATATTAATAAATATTAGCACATTATTAATTAGTACTAGATATTTTTGAGTACCATCCAAAATATTAAAATTATATTTTTAAAATATAAATATGATGTATGTATAATGCTTCGTTATGTACAATATAATGTACATAATGTATTATAGCTGGAGCCATATCAATGGAGTATGTATAGCGAGTATATTATTTATTATGTAATAAAATTATTAAATATATATTATGTATTTGCACTGTGAAGACATGTTGTTCTGTTGACCGGACGTAATTGCAATAATGTGAACTAAATAAATATTTCTATTTAATTAATTATTTAAATTTGTTATATATTTATTATTATTTTTTGTTCTTTTTTATGTTTTATTATAAATACAGATTACTTTTCTTTAATATGAATTGGCATTTTATTTTCTTAATTTTCTTTTTTTTTTTTAATTCAGGTATGAATGCAAGTCTTTGTGTGGTTGATATCAGGCGTTTCGGAGTTTTGGTGATATTGCAATTTTGTCCCGACTGAATTTGTTAAGTCGGATGCCACTTTTCAATTATAAAATACTTGTGGACAGTCGCGGTAAGATAAATAAGTGTAATTTACTCATTTTTTATATGTATATTGGTAATTCTATGGAAGCGGCTTGTTTAATTTATTGTAAGTAATGTGTTTCTTTAGTTAAAGATCTATAATAAAACAAAAAAGTAATAAGTACTGACGTCTGTGATTTTATTTTAATTATTGCGTAAAGTATAAAGTCGTTCAATATACTACGTCCGTTTATATTGTATAGTGAGATGAAAAAGCTATTTACTTTAAAATGTGGAAATTATATTTATTTATCTTACAGTAAAGTAGATATCGACGCAAAATGCCTTTAAGATGTTAATACAAAAGTAATGCATATATTAAAAAATATATATTTGTTTTTCATAATTAAACACTAAAAAACCGTATCGGTATTCAACAACGGGATTTACTTGTTTTATACAGTGAATTAAATGTACGGTCTAAATATAGAATGGTGTTTGGAGTCGGGCTGGGTCCCCTAAATAATTTTGATTATTTCAATGTGGATTCTCAGTTTCTATAACAATATTTTTTTGGATATATCGGCTATTTTTACATTTACGGTTTAATTGAGTTTTACTATTTCGAGAATAATCTCAGTATACTCTGGTAAATGTGTGTATAGCCTATATTATGTGGATATATTCCTCAGTCAAAAGACTGAGTGACAGTTTGAAATCTCGAGTAAGTGATATAGGTGTGGTAATGGATCTGGTACGTGAACTGCTAGTGCGAAATAAAATCTAAATATATATATATATATATATATATATATATATATATCACAATCAAATTGGCTTAGCTATGATCATATCTTCTTATTAAGTCGGAAAGCTGTGCTTTCGACAGCTCTACCGCTGTAGCTGCGGTGGTGTTAATACGTAAGTACCATGGTCCTACATTAATTTGCAAGTTTTGACAGAATCTATTGTAAATATTTTATTTTTTGCGAAAATTATTCGTTCCCACGTGTAGCTTGTTAACGACTGCGTCGATATTATTTTTATACTGAGATTTGGCTTTAGTGAGTGATTAAGGGTATAGGATGAGCGTTTGATAACGTTGATATTTATAGTAAATATTGAGTTGAAAATTAGACAATATTTGGCCCTTACTAGTGAAAATTAAAATTATTTTTTGTCGTAGGTTCCTATATGTTTATGTTATTTAAAATGGCTTTATTGATGTTAAAAAGGAATCGATCGAAATTATACTTGTTACGGTGTTGAGAAAACGTAAATATGTTGGAAGTAATCGTCTCATTTATATTGTTAGTAAATAAATATTAAATGCTATTGGCTTTTTGTGTATGAAGATATCTTGGTTTTATTATTTAATAATTAAAACTTACATTATTTCAAATTGAGTTTCTTTTTCTTTATTTGTTATATAAGACGATTACTTCGTTCATAACGTTCACTAAATTACGACTTAAGAAAATAATATTTTTTACTATTGATTTTTGTAAACATTCCAAATTTCTTACTGATCGAATAGTATAATCGGTTAAATCCTAAATTATTCTAGACCTAGACTTAACGCCCAGTTTTTACCCTCCACATTGTTATGATGTAAAAACGCTGATATTAAGTTAATCTGTATATTGTGTAAATATTTTTTTACTCTGTGCTGTGTTTTTTTATCTACACAAATGCCGGTTATAGTCTATGGCCTCTCATAAATGAATAAATTATTCATAAATAATTTAACGCATATCTATTTAGCTTTGGCCGCGCGAAAATAAAACTGCCGAAAATTTAAATATTTAATGTTTATATTGAGATTATAGTTCAACGCATATAGTTTATACGAGTATAGAATTGTGAAGAATCTTATTCATTTAAATGAGACCACCGAATAGTGAATGAATGTGCTATCTTATCATATCAATTTGTTTGAAAAACAAGATAAAATACTACAAATAAAGTGCATATTGATGTAAGAAGTGACCTATAAATAAGCAATAATGAATATTCATTTGCACAGAGATTTAATTATGAATGATTTGTGCCACTTGTATAAGTTGAAGCTCTCCTGTCGATGTGTAGTTGTACAATATGTAATTTCATTATTTGTTGCCGGCTATGGATTGAAATAAATCATCACAATTTTATTCATTTCTGTATTTTTATTTTATTACCTTTTAGATACTAATAACTAGCATTGCTCGCGGCTCCGCCCGCGTTCAGATGACCAAAAACCAAATTCTTAGGCTTTACATTACTAAACTCTTACATTGCTGTTTTTGTATTTTTTCTCAGAAATGAGATATTTTCGCGCAGTAAAAAGTGGTATCCTATATATATGTTGACCCGAATAACCAGCTATCACCATACCAAATTTCATCACAATCCCTCCAGTGGTTTTTCTGTGATGCAGTAACAGACAGACAAAAATTCCAAAAACTCTGTATCGATAATGTTTATTTATATAAGATTTTCCAAAAAATATTTAATGTACAGATTCGGCTTAGTTACAATTTTATTATATGTATAGATTATGGGGTCTAATCAGAAACGAAGAAACAATATTTCAATTATAGGTCAGTAGATGGCGTTACATGTAATAATTTGTTATTAATGTCTGTATAAAATGAATAAAACAATTCCTAAAAACCATATTTTGATTTTAAAAAATACAGTTGATAAAGGAAAATTAAATTATTTTGAGTTATTTACCACGGTTAAAACCGACAAAACTTTGTTTTATTAATGAATTTTGGTATATTTTGCATATTATTTTAGTAACCACGTAAAAAAACTATTAGTTTGAAAGCTTACGATTCATCGTCATTTTGTTTGCTTAATCACATATTAGATGGCGTTGATCCGCAAATTGTCGAATTATTATAATTTATATACATGTATTTGTAAACTAAAATATATCTAATATTGCATAAATCATCTAGCATTTTATTAAACAAAAATACAATCACTACAACAGATTTTCAACATGATACCATGAATAACTACTAAAAATAAAAAGCGCCATCTATGAATATACACTACAAACACATTACCTAATTGCTGTCTTCTCAATATTATTTATTTATTAAAATAAAATAAAAATTACAAGCGCATTATTTAGTTTCCCTTTACCTAGAGTATTTATAAGACTACAATGTACCTATTTCTCTTGTGTTAATTTTTCAAAGACCAATAACAAATTATTATGTTTTACTCTAATATAATTAATTTATTTGAATTTATTTTTCTTTCTTCCTGGTTAAGCCCCATGTGTCTTAACAAGCAAGTCTTAGAGTTAAGTGTAGAAAGGATGTGTGTGTGTGCGTTTTTTCGTAAAAATAATGATGTGGGAAATGCGAAAGATAAAAAAACATGTAGTATTTCTTTATTGTTACCCATAAAATTAAATATATCAAAATATACATATACAAACTTACGTAAATGCCTCATTGCATATGACTATAGTCTTGGTCTTGGACTGATTATCGCTATATTTAAAAAAAATCACGATCTCCATAAGGTTACAAAAATTAATTAACCATTTTGAAATAGCTAATCTTTACAATATAAAATTTAAGTAAACATTTACTTAAAGAGACAAATAAGAAGTTTATTAAATACACACGGAATGTTATTTAATGTAAAAAATCGTAAAAAAATAAATTATTTGTAAAAAAAAATCATTATTACAATTCCTCTTTAGTGGAGGAAACTGATATAGATCGTGGTAACGGCGACAAGTTATCAGGTTTTGGTGGTAACGCTGGTTTTTCGTGAATCTGTACTCTTAAAGCTGAGTCTGCAATCTCTTCTTCATTCACAATCAATATGGACCCGTCGATAGTGTCCATCACGAGTGGGTCTTCGAATCCCGAGTTGTCTACGACTTGCACTTCAGACCTTTAATAGATACATTACTGTGTAACAGTGAGTGGTAATTGGATGTTGTTTTTTAATATAATTATTTTATAGTGTTTTATCAAGTTTATATTATCACCCAATCTCCATATAAGACTAAGTTATGAATGAAATAATATTCAATCTTCAATACCTTATGTTGTTTCAGTATTTATGTATATCTATTTTAAAAACTTACGTCATACAAATTATGTGTATCATCACTTTAAAAAAGCGTTAACACTGTAATAATACGGTTACATAATTTATAAAAATACATTGAAAGCTTCACCTTAGATTGACCCCAGAAAGTTAAATAAAACTTTCAAAACAGAAGTAAACACACACCGAGTGACACGTTAGACACATCAGACAAGAAACATTTAATTAACACAAGCACCCAAGACCATAGACATATTTGCAAAAGAACAGTGCGTATAAAAACAAAATGGCGTGTTTGAGACGAGCAATGAAATGAAAGAAGGTGTTTGTTTTCGATTTATTTATTCATATGCTTACATTTTACATTAAACATTATGATCGCTGGCATATGCTATATATTTATAGAGTATAGGAGTAAAATAGGTATTATTATTACTTCGGTAATATTCATAAAGTTGTTACGAAATAAAAATCTTCAATAGCGATTAATCTAAAATCGATAAAAATATTAAACAACATAAAATGTTCAACAAAGTATAAATTTACATTAAAATTAAAAGTACGACGTAATATAAAAGATCGTTGTATTCCAAAGGAATGTCACAAATCGAATGTGATCTACGAAAGGGTACCTAAAATTAAAAAAAAAATGGGAACAGTCGATGAATAGAAATGCCGATTGGGAATGTAATATTCGGAAAAAGTTGCGGAATGCATGTCCCTTAGAAAATATACATACATATGCAGATATTTTGTTATAAAATGTAAAAAATTAAAATGGCTTTAAAGGTACTGTTAGTAAAAAAATGTTTATAGCTAATTCCCATATTAAAATAAAAATTACGTATCAATATAAATTAATGTTGAAACATTTCGTTACCAAGTGACAGCCCTAACACTATATGAAATCAACCGACATTAAGTACCACATCTTAGATATATTATTATCATATTACAATACAATATATACGCGTGTTAATTCCACTTGGCTTCAATAAAAAAACGTCACTAAAGTGATTCGTTGTAAAAATGTATAAAAGCATTGACACATCGTAATACTAACCTCGTAAGTACTACACTTCTTATGAACATGATGAACATTCAATTAAATTCCATACGTGACTCTTAAATAAGTTATCCTTATAGTTACACGAGTATATCAACTACTATGGAAAGTGACGATATTGTGCTTAAAATGAATTATTTTTTGATCAAGTGTTTCTAAATAATATAATTTATTTAGCCCTTTTTTGCGTCCCACTGCTGGGCACGGGCCTCCCTCCAATACGAGGAGGATCAGGCCATAGTCCACCACACTGGACAAGTGCGGGTTGGCGCACTTCACATGTCTTTCGAAAACTTGCTAGGTTCACTCTCAGACATGCAGGTTTCCTCACGATGTTTTCCTTCACCTTTAAGACAAGTGGTAATCACGCTGGAAATGATCCGCACATGAAAATATCAGAGGTGCGAGTCCCGGGATTTGAACCCGCTTCACTCGGTTTCCCAAGCAAGCCCGTTACTACTGGGCTACTACTGCCTTCAATAATATAATACATTATTGTAACATCCCTAAAGAGAAAAAAATATTGAACATTTAAGAAAAATATTAAATGTAAGTAAAGTGTAAACACTCGATACTCGTTATCGAGTAATTAATATAACTATGCCACAAAACGTAAATGATTATTAATCGTTGTACTTTCCATACTATATGATATCGACATTTATAATATTAGGTCACAAACGTTAACCAACACGGTCGGACATCACGATACAAAAAAAAACAATCCCGTCACCTGTCCAATGATATATTATATACAATTTAGTCAGTAATTACATAATAAACAATAATTTCGTTGTTAGGGATATACCCAGAGGTACCGTCCAAATAAAACACATTAAAATATAGGTGCAAGTTTAAATAAAGCGTGTAAAAAGCTTGTCGGGTGATTCGCTTCATTTACAACGACCGACACCCTTAATTATATAAATACATTTGTATATAAAAAGGTACGAAGTTTGGGAATGTACGACAGTCTATACATAGGCCAGCGTTGATGTGAATAAATTGATAATATTGATAAAAATATTTTTTTTTATTGTTTATTGTAGTGATATTGAGATTTAACGTGTATATTAATTATCATGTTATTCACATTTAGCAATTAATTTTATTTATTTTTTCTTGTACAGATCAGGTCCAGTAGGTATGTGAGATGAATACATACAAAAAATTTGGCCCAATAATTCTACACAGTTGACATATTTATAGCATATAAATAAGCAAACTATATAAAGCATAATTTTTCATATACATAAATTTTATAAAAATATTACTGATTAAGTAAATAAAACTATTTTAAAATAAGAAAAAATGTACGCCTATTTTGAAATGTATCTATTTTAGATTTAAAAATAACGAATAAAATATCAATCGTCACCCTTTTGCTGTTTCTTATCCTTTAGGCATATAAATTAAAAAAATATGACGCTTTTAGACGAGAATGATCTATAATAATATTTATGGCTTTTCCACAATCACAATAAGCTCAATAACTTATACGAAAAATAAAAACTATATAAATTTACATAAAAACGATTCCCGCTCCAGTAACAAAATTATAGTACATAATTAAAATTATAAAAAATATAGTATTTTGTTTAACTTTAAATCCAAAAAACTTAAAAAAAACATATTTTAATTCGCAAAAAACGTGAGCGTCATAAAGCGAGAAACGTTATTTTCTAATAATTTGATAAAAACAAACCGACGGCAAAATAAACAGAATCCGCAGGTAAACTTGAATTGTTAATTTAAACGATCCTTGCAGTTGTTTGGCACTGACTCAAAATTATTTTGCTTTTTAACCGACTTCAAAAAATGAGGTGTCATGTTCAGTAAGTATTTTTTATGTCAGTTTAAAGTAATAAGATACTTCACAACGCACGTTGTTCAAATATCAGAATCAACTAATTTTAACTGAAGTCTTACATTAAAAATTACTTTAAAAAATATGAATAAGATGAATGGCGTTATTTACTATGTGTAAATGTACAGTAAATAAGAAAATGAAAATATTTAGCCCGTTATTTTATACCCTTAATTATTTATTAACACTAAATAATAGTATGGTGGATAATTGGCGGCAATTGTTTTTTTTTAGTGTCATGGCGATTAATTGTAAGAATTTTGCCGTATTAATTACATATAACTAGATAATTATTGTAATTAGTATTATACCCACCCTGGCATGGGTTTTGCGTAAAGTAAATATGGATACTTTGAAATATGTGAAATTTTACATAAACGGCGGTAGTTTTTTGTCTATATGAATAATATACATTAATAAATTGTACCAAGATGGCGGCGTGCTTTTGTCATTTTCATCTAAAGCCCGAATGAAAAGAGATCATAGCTATCATATGAATACTGGTGCTTGTACTTAGTAAGCCATAAATTAACTTACTAACGGCGGCCTTTTATAACTATCTATGTTAGATTTTTCTTACTAGATATAAAAATATATAGGCTCCATACAAATTATGTTAAGGAAAACAACAGATAGTAGGGATATTAAACACCGCAATAAGTAAGTACCACATAGATAAAATGGTAAGTTTTAGTGTAAAAAGTTAACAAAACGCTTTAAAAAACATCGAAGAAGAGTTATTATTACAATTGGTAATACTTTTAACGTTTTAGTTATTTATGAAGTGCTTAGTATATCCATAGACAAGAAACTAATCATAGACAAATTGACTCTACAATCGCTATCGCTAATAATCAGAATTCGATAATATCATAATTTCGACGTATTATTTAGTTTTCTATTAGCAATATAGATTGTAGATAATTTTATTTAATTTTCTTATGAAAGGAACCAGATTCTCGAAACTTCTATCAAACAAAACTATCAATACTGATTTATGATGAATCTTAATTACCAATCTATCTGTAGTTGTCCTTACAACCTATATATTCTATCTTTAGTACGGAAAACGATAGATAGATCTGCGACATAATTCGTTGGCTTACTATTACAAGGTTCTATGTTAATTTTAATGAAGTTTAGTAATTTTTATATAGAACTTCGTTATTTTGTTATAGTAAAAAAACAACATAGAACTATGTAAAATTGAATATGTTGTAGTTATAGTGCCGTTTAAGCATGGAAATGATTGCTACTTTTAAATCATTATCATGTGATAAAATTACGTATATATACGTATAATCACGTGATTTCACCTGCTACTTTTCACGCAATGATTTTTGATTTCGACGGTCTGGTGTCACACTTTATATTATTTGCTATTAAAATGAAGTATGAAATGTCACCAATGATGTGATATAGAGCAGAGATATAGATCTGACGTAGTTGCATACGTACATGGTGCTATGAATGAACCTATTTTCAAACAATGAACTTTCCCTCATACTTCTACTGGCTTGGGACTGACAATGTAAAATTAAATGAATTTTAAATATATCAGAGTAATCACACGGTAAAATTGTATTAAGCTAAGTTCCATAATTACATTGGCGTATTTAAAAGTTCATTGTTTTTATGTACAATAAGAATTTTTATAAAAGAATTTTATACACTTTTTTTTTGTTTTTCTTAATTTTTTTAATTTGTTTATAATCATTTTTTTTTGCTTTTTGATTTTTTTGATGATTGATTTTTTTATGAGATATCTATACTCTTCATTGCTTTTTAAAAATACAAGTTCCGCTGTTTGTTTTCTGCTTAATCGTGCTCTTTTTTGGGTTGCAAAATTTCCCGCTTTTGAAAATACTCTCTCACACTCCACTGATGTCACCACGATGTGACAGTGCTCATGAAATATTTCCGCCAAATTGGGGTACATATAGGAGTGAGATTTCCACCAAACTAATGGCGAAGAATCGCGCGGAAGCACTGGTTCATTAATAAACATTTCTAGCTCGTTCTCAGCGTTGGTGGCTATGTCGTCGACTGTAGGCGTAATTGCAGCAATGGTTTTGTCTATTTTGCCCCATATAGATATTGTTTCAATATCTTGAGAGGTTGAGGCAGCTCTTGCTGGAATACATGAGATCGTTTCAACAGCCGGAGTACCACGTTTTTTTCTAATTTTTATTTTCAATAGGTCCAAGATGTGCTCCTTAATTAAATTAACACGCGTTGTGCGCTGACTCGTCGTCTCTAAAGTAGGCTCCACTTCAGCAGATGCATTATCAAGGAATGCATGAATCTTAAACCGGGGATCCAGAAATGTGCATAAACCTAGTAGCATATTATCTTCTATAACATGTCGAGGGAAGTAAATTTCTAATCCTTCCTCTAATTTAAGAAGAAAGTTTTTCGCTACACCATAAATTGGTTTAGTTTTCATTATTGACATTACGTTTTTTAAGCCATCTACAATAACTATAGCAAGACTTGCAGTAAGGTAGTGGGTGCCACTCATTTTCATGCCTACTCGCTCGCTCTCTAATTAGCAATAACGAGTGACGACGATTTAATTTTACGATGAAGTTCGAATACGATGCGTGATTTCACCAAGCTGTGATTTGTAGCAGTCACTGTGAATTTAAGTAGCAGGTGTGACGTATGATAACGCATTTCATGTGATTTTTCACTTGCTACTCGTGAAATGTTCCATGCCTAGTGCCGTTATCTAGTGGTTTGTTTTTGCAAAACTGTAGCTAATGACACATAGAACCCTGTAGCATTAATAACTAAATAAGTACTAAAATTGTAACATAGAACCTTGTAATAGTGAGCCAACGAATTATGACACGTTAGTATATAACACCGAGGTACTAGGAATGCACAGATTACGCGGCGGGCTGCGGGGGTAACCGCGGGATATAAATAAGTCCCATGAGGAAGACGAACATCGTCATGGTCATCTCGGGCTAAATTAACTTATCTGTTTGTTGTCCTTACTACCTATATAGTCTATTTTTAGTAAGAAAAACGATAGAACTGTAGGGATCGACATATAAAAGCGAGCACACTTAATCATAACGGACACTCGCAAACGAGTAGTTAATCTGGGCAGTAATAAATACGTATAATTATTTCCGTTGTTTAATTACAGCCTAAAGACACCTGAAGAACTATCGCTAGTATATAACGCCAAGGTACTAGGAATGCATAGATGGTGTGGAGCTTACGCGGCGGGCTGCGGGGGTAACAGCGGGATATAAATAAGTCCCATGAGGAAGACGAACACCGACATGATCATCTTGGGCTTAATTAACTATCTGTTTGTTATCCTTACTACCTTATATATGCCCGATTTCACCAACATCCCATAAGCTACCACCTACGTCTGGGATCCCTAGCTCAAAAGTTTCCCCTAAACTAGCCCCTAAATTAAATTTCATTTACCATCGTCAGAGCCTGTATTTCTAGTACCTATATTTAGATGGCATTTTTTTAATTTTTAGGTGACCCCTAACTGTCGGTGAAACAGAAACTGTCCCCTAACAGCCCCCTAACCATGCTTAGGGGATCCCTTAAACTAAGGTGACGTTGGTGAAATCGGCCAATAAATAGTTTATCTTTAAGTAAGGAAAACGATAGATAGAACTATCGCTAGTATATAACGGCAATGTACTAGGAATGCATAGATGGTGTGGAGTCTTACGCGGCGGACTGCGGGGGCTGCGCGGGCGACAGCGGGATGTAGTCGAGCGCCATGAGGCAGGCGAACACCGTCATGATCATCTTGGGCTTCCTCTCGGTGATGTCCTCGGGCAGCGCGTACACACGCGCGCCGCAACGCCGCGCCATTGATATCGCATATTTTGCATTCGCTAACTTATCCTGGAAAGTGTTTGGAACAATTTGTATTTATATATAATTGATATTGTAATCTTTTGATGGAATCTTTGTAAAAAAATATATTTTAATTCAGTATACGAGCCACAAACACGTTTTAGTCATGGTGTCGAGGGCAGAAAGCAAAAATTATGTAGGTATTAATGATAACGTAATTCCAAGTTAACGATGTAGTTACTTTTTTAACAAAGATATGTTATAATGCGATTTTTGAAACTGCCGCATGCGGCCCGCGGGCCGCAGGTTGAGTATAGCTGATCTAGACAATGCAACGCGGATACAACATCCAACAAGATTACTAATCTTGTTTAATAAGCTCGCATTATGAAAAATTTATAAAGTAGTATCTGAATATTTTTTCATAATCATATTTTTTTAAATAATAATAATCTTTTTCAAAAATAACTGTTCTTACATATTATACTGTTCAAAGATAACTAATATCACCACTAATTATTTTCATAGTTAACGCGTCTTTCACTTATCTTCAATATTTACTTTAAGAGGACTTTTAAAACTATTTTTTGTGTCTATAAATAAATATCTTACTTTGACATTACTTAAATGCATTCTTACATATAGAAAAAAACTCAATTAAATATATAAATAGCACATATAACTTAAGACAAAAAGAAACGTCAAACTACCTTAGAACATTCTAGAAATAGCATAAGATAATATAAGAAAGTGTACCTCCTCAGTGCCTCCATGCAGGACGAGGTCGTAGTTGATGGCGCCGGGTTTGATCGCGTCTATGAGGTCGAGAACTACTACAGCATCTGCCAATACTTCGTCCTGTAACATATTGTGATGATTATTATATGATCAATAACAGAAAATAAAAATAAATCTTTAATCGTCATGATGAGAATTATAATGTTCTTTTGCAAATTGTATTTAGTAAATGACAGACGGATATACACATTATACAGATTTTGCAGAAACGAAAGTAAGTTTTTTGTAAAATTATAAATTATTAAAACTTCAGGAGCTATTACAATAATAAAAATAAAACTTAATCGGCTTTTAAATCAGATTGAAAAAAAATCTGTACATATAAAAAGACCCTATTAAAATTAGTATTACTGTGTTTACATGTCTATAAACACCCCAGTAATACTAATTCGCACAATATTATCCCACTCACTGGTGTGAAAGTCCCCTCAAAATCAGTCCAGCCAGTTCGGAGATTAGTAGGGACAAACAGAATTTTTAAAAAATGTTCTTATAAGTACCGTATATAATTTCATATGCATTTAGTAAAAAGCTAATATTTTGACATTATAAACAGACACTACAATTTTGTTTATCTGTATAATATGTTACCATAATATGTTACCTGGAAGCTCTTAATGGAGGACGCCTTGCCGGCGGCCTGCAGCTTGTTGTTGACCCACTGCACGATCTCGCGCTCGATGATGGGGTTGCCGGTGTTGGCAAGCCGCGTCAGCACCGACAGCGTGTACGCGCGCATCAGCTGCCAGATCAGAGCTGTGGATTGGTATATATATGTTATATTATTAAATGAATGAATGAAATGATGTATTCATTAAAGATTTGGATCAAATTTTGTATTTATATAAGCAATTTTTATATCTTTCCAAACAAACACGAATTTACAAAAGACCGAGTGAAATTCGTTAACAATCTAATACCTTTAAACGAGCAATAGTTGGATATTTATTTATACCGGCGATCTCGGAAAAGGCTCTAACGATTTCGTTGAAATTTGGTATGTGGGGTATTCGGGGGCGAAAAATCGTCTTATGTCTGGGAAAATACGTGTTTTTTAGTTTTCATGCGGTTCCCTTTCACATTATTCCAAAATATGGTCGCTAATTTCACACGTTCAGGCAAAAACGTCGTGGTCAAGCGGCCAAGGCGCAAAATTGACAATTACAGGTGTCCGGGCTCGAATCCCGGTCGGATACAAAGTTTTATCTTTTGTTTTTTTTTTGTTTTTAAGCCAAATTAAACAGAAAATTGTACTTGTGGCCAAAAACTCCGAGCAAAGCTCGGTCGCCCAGAAACTAATTGGTATATTAGAGACATTTTAGTGTGTTATAAAATATAGGTTAAAGTAGCAGCGTAAACTATTATAATATATAGAAACACGACAGAGATTGGTAGGTATAATAATGTATCATTTACATATTATTACATATTCGCTGTTTACTTTTGATTGACTGATTTAAGGAGCGTTTCAGATGAAAGTATCAAAAACTTCACCTTATTATTCTATACTATAATATTATAAAGAGGCAGAGTTTGTTTGTTTGTTTAAACTCGCTAATCTCAGGAATCCGATTCAAAAAAATCTTTTGGGGAAGGCTATATAGACTATAATTTATATCATATAATATATAGTCTATGTATTCCATACTAACCATTAAAACGTAGCTAGTCTATTGCATAAAGACATTAATAAATAAATATAAAACTAAACCTTACCCAATGTAAGTGTTGCGTTTCCTTCGTTAATATCAGCCCCGGCGATACCCACGAGGGAGAAACCGAGCTGGCGGCCGAGCTCCACCGCGTAGTTGCAATTCTCTAGTCTCTCCATGAATTTGCGCAATTTGGAGAACTGACGGTGTACCTAGTTGTGATAATGATTGTGTTAATACGTTTTTGTTAATTTATTTGGCCATAATGGTATGCAGTGGTAGGCTAATGGTAACGCACTCGCTTTGGAAATTGAATAAATAGATTCAAATCCCGGGTCTCGTATCTCTGATATTTTCATGTGCGAATTATTTCCAACATTATTACTACTTGTAATGTGGACTACGGCCTGATCCCCCTCATATGATTTTGATGATTTGATTGATGATTGGGAGGCTCACCCCTACCCCCACAATGGAGTGTAAGAAAGAGCTGAATAGGTACATAGCGAAGTAATTTATAGAAATGAGAATTTGAGAATTATTATTCGTGGTGTTAACGCTTAACTCAGAAGCAAGTTGTATCAATTAAACCAAAGAAGCCAAAATGGAGAAAGGTTCTTATCTCGTCTTAATCTTTTATATGTACGTATTTACATGACATTTTCGCCGATTTTGAGTCTTCCAAAATAACAAATAGGCTGGAAAAATAGTTTCATTTTTGTGTTAATAACTTACAGTAAAAACAAAAAAATAATAAAGTCTTAATACATATAAAATTATATGATAAAAAATTAACACAGTAAAACAAATATACCAAATCATTATAATCAAACATATCCACATACCTTCTTCCAATTAACAATGCCGGGTTTGATGATGTCGTACAACTGGAAGATAACGAGCCCGTCCGTGAGGTCCGAGTACAGCCAGTTGACGTGCGGCGCCACGCCCATGGAGTTCATCCAGTTGCGGTACGCTGGGGATTATTGTGGAATACATTTATTTATTACCGTAATCGGATTACTATTAGTTATTACTATTGCGAAAGTTTTCGTGTATGTATGTCTGACAGTTAGTCTTTCACTTAAAAATGACTAAGCGGATTTCGATGTAATTTAGTGCCCAGATGAGGATTACAAAAATTATTCAAATTCGTTCAGTCCTTGTCATTCGTACACACACATACACAAGCACGCACACAAGCATGCGCGCACACACGCAAACACATAAAAACTTTTATATTTATAATAGTAGTCCTATTGAAAATCAACAGTGAGCAATATTTTAAATTACTTAATCTATTAAAAATACTTAAGTGCCTAAATGATAAATTGCACGATATGTACCACATCTTAAACTCATTCATCTCCCGACCAAACACCCAACACCTACTGACTCATACTCACTATTCTCCTCTCTAGTCTCGTCCAGCTTGTGGTACACCTCATTATCCTGACCCAAACACTCAACACTAACTGACTCATACTCACTTTTCTCCTCTCTAGTCTCATCCAGCTGGTGGTAGGCCTCGTTGTCGGTGTCTGTTCGTTGCAGGCCCGGGTGCTGGTTGAACAAATTGGCGACGAAGGCAAGGTTGAGCTTGTACACGCCGCCCACCACGTCGGCCGGCGTCACGAAGGCACGGCATCTCAGTTTGGCAGCTTGCTGCAGCATTACTTCTGCACGTCGAAGTAAGTCGGTTTCCTGTAAAGGTTTATATGATTTAGATTAGCCTTTTCTAGCTGCTTTGCCTACGTTATTTCATTTATAATATTATTTTTATAAGTTTTAAGAACATACACAATGTCACAAATTTAAACTTTAACAGCGATAGCAATACTTATCATCCTTTTCTGACTTAACAATTGCCTTTCAATAACGAATAAAAAAAATTCTGGAAGCAACAAAATAGAGCAACAAAACAGCCCAGAACATACCCTCAAAGCATCCAAGGTGACGCCAGCATCATCCGGCGCTATTTGCTTCAGCAGATAAGAATATATCTCAGAATCGGCGACATCTTGCTGGAAGTTGGTGCAGCGACGGGTGACGCCCGCGCTCTGCAATTGGTGGTTGACCCAGCGAAGTAAAATGGCTTCTGGGGACAGTGCGAGGAGATCCTCGATTCTTTCCTGGAATTTTCAGTTTTGATTTATTGTAACTTATAAATAAATATTATATTAGAAAATTAACACACAACAACATCTAGTTCAATGGTAAGCTACGAGGCTTGTGTTATGGATACACTATACATACATAACTTTAAACAAATTCATATTATAAATATAGACACCCATGACTGGCGTACAAACATTCGTGCTCATCACACAAATCATTGCCCAGCGGGACTCGAACCCGCGACATACATAATTTTTTTATAATACTTATATTTTTTTAAATATGACCCGAAAAACGATAAACCTAATATTATGTTACAAGTACAAGTGAATTAAACTTATAAGTAAGAATCTATATTATTAGTACCTGGTCGTTAAGAAGCTCTGTGAGACCGGGGCAGTGTTCCAAAGTGATCTGGTTGAAGAGACCAATACGAATGATCTGCCAGAGTAGACCCAATACCAAGTGAGGTTTACCTGAAAATAATACACATTAAACAAATGGTAACTTAAGTATTAAAAAATAATTTTAATTCGATTTCAAAACACGCATAACTATAGAGAACCAAATAATCATTAATATGATAGCTACTAGTACTTTCTCGGTGTTTTTCGGAAAAGGTCAAAAAATTGTATTTTTTCAGAAAAGTCATACATAGATAAATTAAAAAAAAACCTTATCTAAATACAAAACTTTTGTTTTCGACATACACGAAATAAATTTATATACATATATGTATATACAAGAATTTCTCATTTAATATTATAAGATTTATAGTAAGTAGGAAGTCTTCGTAATATCTAAATTTATTTACATATTTACCTTTAGCCAAATCGTGAGCATCGATATTGACGATATTACACCCAATAGCCTGTGAGGAGACGAGGGCGAGAGTGAGGTTCTCATGTTTGGTATACAGCGTTAAGTTCTTCTTGTTGATCGCTCGCTCGTCGATTGTGTCCGGACAAGAGTGGTTGATGACTTTGCTAAAGTAAAAAGTAAATTTAAAATATTTTATAGAAATTCTTTCGTTAGTAAAAAAAACTATCCATCAGTATTAAAGTCTATTAATTCATACAGTCTTCTCGGTCAAAAAAAAGGCGCCTAGACACGGCAATAGTACGGAGCTTCCGTTATAGGTATATGACCTTTGAACGGTTTAGGGTTGACGGGTGATTTGCCACGATATGGCACTAGTGTTATAACTCATCGAAATCTCAAGATTTAGTATTGACTAGCGACACACCCTCGCTTCGCTCGGGTTCGTCCCTAGATTGATTCCCCATACAAACTTTCATCCCCATTTTCACCCCCTTAAAGGGTGATTTCCGGGATAAAATGTTTCCTATGTCCTCCAGGGTCTCAAACTATCTCTTTACCAAATTTCATCTAAATCAGTTCAGTAGATCCAGAGATTACGTCCTACAACGTCACAAACTCACAATTCACAAACTTTACCTCTTTATAATATTAGTATAGATAATATGTTTGTGATAATTTTCGGATAATTAATATTGAATATTTATCAGAGATATAAAACCCGTAACCCTTAAGGAACCAGTACTATCTAGTAGGTATCTATCTATAGATATTAGAAGCGAATTATACGTAAATAATTCACACTACTAATACAACATAATCAATTATTTTTATTTTTACCTTAGGTACTTCATGACTAAAAACTTAAATTATTTTAAGTCGCAATAAATAGAAAAATGTTAATAACTACCACACATGATGTGAATTACGAGTAACTGCCACACAAAGTAAAAAAACTTAACGCTGTATACCAAATATCATTTATCAATCTATCTATATCCTAATCCTAAATTATTTATCAATGAAACAATTTTTACTTCTAGGAAGAGTTTTGAGAGTTGAATACATACGTTGAAAGTGCCACCAAGATGGCCCTTAGCTAGTTCAGGTGTAATTTTTAATTTATATAAATGGTCTTTGAAGAACAAATTATGTGTTAAATGTGTTTATATCAAGACGACAAGTCATCATATAAATACATCCATTGTTACTTTCAATCGGCTTATAATATGTAATAAGTGTTACTTAAGTAATAACAAAGTAAAAGGTAGTAATTTTATATTTTTAATAGTTATAGAAAATATGAAAACAAAACTCATTGTATATTTTAAATAGTCTTATTACATCATGTGTTGAAAATGGCTAATTTCCTTTTTGGTACAAGTAATAACATTTGTATGTATATATGTACGTATTTATTCACCCTTTTATTAGTTATAAAAATTATAATATAAGCTCACTATAGGTATAATATTAAATAATAATATTTGATTGAAAATAAATTAAAAACGTTTTAAGAACCATATATACTTTCGTAATAAAAAAAAACAAATATAGCGCGTATTAGGTAATATAAATTAAAAACATTATACGTGAATGTGTACATATTTACGTTACATTTTCAGCCTATTAAAACTTAACAGATTTCAGTGACATTCGGAATGAATAACTTTTTGTGTTAGTATTTACGTCTTTTTAGATTTTCTGTATACAGACGGAATACATTGTACAGATCATGATGGTAGAGAATTGTATTATAGACCACCAGTTAAAAGATTATCATAATATTTTCTTTGATGTATGGATGGATGGATTCTGTAAAGCATTCGAAACATTGGAAACCAAAAAATCTAAATAAATCCGCAAAAAAAAAACGAAAGGTAGTATATTTAAAATAAAAGATTACCATTTCATGTTTAAACTACATCATTTCTTGGCAACGCCAGTTTCTTGTATTTTAGAAATAAGAGCTTTGCTGGAGGTACAGTGCAAGTCTGCACCAAACTTACCACAAAATTAAACCGTCCTTCAGTTTCTCATACAGCTGTTTGCCCTCAGGGTCAATGGGCAGTAGGTGTTTGAGATCAGGATCGTGCTCTAAGTTAGTATTGATCCATCCAGAGAACGCCATTTGTTCTTCTAGACGCACTGAATGTGTTGTACCTGGAAGTAAAAGTAAAATGTACATAGACTACGGTTTTTGAAATGAGCTTTTGTGGCACAATACAAAATAAAGTTAAATCTGAACTAGTTGTTTTTGAAATTTGAAATATCGATAATGAAGATCAAAATCTACAACGAACGTTAAAAAAATACACAATAACTATTATATTCAAGATGATGTAAAATCGATTCTCATAATTTATCTAACATTTATGCAATCATATCTACATATCAGTACTCAAGTGTAATAATGCCTGTCATTAACATGCAATTTTAAAGAAATCTAACAAATATGCTTTGAAAACTTGAATCTTGCCTATCTCTCATACACACGCTATACATGAGCTATTCGTGCAATTTAAACCAATACATTAACTTTACGACCAATATATGTTCAAATCAGTACGTCGACAGAGCAATATCATTATGAAGCAACAAGTACAACGACTCCATTCACAACTCGCTTAATCACTTTCATTCGGAATCAGTTATTAATGCAGCTGTAAATTCATTTATTAGGAGGATGTTAGCATTGATGTCTCATTGCGATCAGTTACGTATCATTTATAAGATACGAGCAGCTCACCCTCGCTTCGAGTTGATCGGCTCGGGTTCGCCTATACAAAAACAAATCCCACAAAAACCGTACAGTCCGGAATAAAAAGTAGCCTATGTTTTATTCTGATGTATGAGCTATATTATTGTAAAGTTTCATTAAAATCCATTCAGTAGTTTTTGCGTAAAAGAGTAACAAACATCCGTACATATATACATCCAGACATCATCAAAATAATTCGCATTTATTATATCAGTAGGATATTTGCACTTATTCGAATATAGCCAATACACTGCGAATATATATTTTAAAATATTCTCTCTGGTTTAAATTGATTATTGTAAAATCGATTTTATGTTATTTGAAAGGAAAATAGGTTAATTAATTTAATTCTTAGTTACAGTTAAGTAAAAGTAGAATTATATATTAATATCTTAACATTCACATTTCCATTGTAAAAATCGATTTTAATGTGCCAATAAAAATCGATACCATAAAAAGTTAATAACAAAATGGATTTCGCTTTGTTTTTAGCTTTTACGTAAACTTGTTTAATATTTAAAAGTGAAAGTTACCATCGCTTGAAGCCTCGCTCATGCCGCCTAAATGTTCAAGGTTCTCCTTTTTACTGACAGCCTGTTTGAATGTGCTTGACACCTGAAAAAATAGACAATCGTTTGGATGTTGATAAAATATATTATTACAATACTATTCTAATCTAAAACTTTGCGAATGCCTGTTAATTCAAATTTTAACAGCTTAATAGATTTGTGTGAAATTCGAAAGAAGGACGGCTAGATCGAAGAAACTACCACGTGGGTAGTGCCGCGGTCAAAATCTAGTTGTCGAATACAGATATTTTATCCACAAAATAAAGAATCTATTTTGTGTTTAATTAAAATCGTCACTCAGATAAGAAGACGATTTGGTAATTTAGTGAGTAAATCAACTAAAACGATACTGAACTTCTTGGATTCGATTCCCGAAAAAGCGATGAATGCACTTAATATGTATAATAGAGGCAATTTTAAATTAACGTTTAATAAAAAAATAGACTTTAAAATTTAATACATCAAAAATGAATGATATTATAAAAAAAATCATATTAATGATAATTATATTATTTAAAAAGGACAATTCAAAATAAATATTTACTAATATGTAGAGTATGCATAAAATATAAGAATGCATGAAACATTTAATTGGCTATAGATATCATCTATTTAACCCTTTCAACCTTTGGCGCAGTTCAACGCCTATAAGGTTGGCTTCATGTATTGACGATGCAGCGCTAAGACGATTACACTAGTTCACAATTTAAAGTTGACAAGGCATTTCAAACAAACGTTAATATGTAATGATAGTTCTAGCTTTTAGTCTATTGTATTTAATATTTACCTATACTAAAAACTAAAATCTAGAACTATCACATAATTATAAATACAATTTCTTTGTAGGATGTAAAATATGTAATCGTGTAAAACGTTAATTATTTTAATAAATATTAATTACATTATGAATACAAACTGAGGCCAGTAAAACGCAGTTCCCATGTGATTAAGAATTCTCATAGAAATCCTTAAATACGTGGGAATCTTATTTTTTTTATTTAGCCTATTTAGTTCTTATTAAAATATTACGAAACTAATTTTTTCGTGTAACCACTGTTTATCGAAATTTGTGTCCTAAAGGTGTATTTATTAGCTGCAAGTGCGTGCAATGTGTTTTGATTTGTCTATTTACTACTAACTTCATATAAGAACTATAAGGAAACTAAATAAATGACGATACAAGTTACACGGTTATAATCCAGTTACGTGACAATGAATTTTCACATACATAAAACTTAATTCGTAATGTAAAATGTAAATTAATCTTAAAGCAAAAGGCATATTCGTTGACCATCAAAATCCCTTTAAAATGACAGAGGCCAAGTGTCAATCGAGATTATACAACATGCGGTTATTGTAATACCTACTACAATTATGTGCGTATCAACTATGATCATTATTAACCTTAATATGGTCTGACATTTAAGCAAGTCGATACATTCGTCTACGGCCTGGCATCCATCCAATTTTCGCCAATTTTGTTGAAATTATATAACAATACTGCAGTAAATATTTATATCGATTTAAAGCTTATACAATGTACACTTATCTGTACGTTAAAAAGAAAGACCGGTTTACAAAGTGTTTGTTTATCCTAGTGGAATCCTGTAAATAGATTGACTGATTTTATAGGATTTTTAAGAGATTTTGAAATTTCTTGTGCGAGTATATCTCAACCTTCTAACCCATTACACATAATATGGAAGCATGTGATAAAAATTGTTTTTTTTTTCTACAAATGTGTTTGTTACATATACATAGGTCTGTCGGTGTGAAGTATTAGTAATAGTTTAAATATAGTAAATACTAATGCCCTTTTCTAGGAACAAATGCTATTTCACAGAGTACGTGTGAGGCAAACGTAATAGAGAATAAATCGATTTTCTACTATCTTTAATGATATGATTTAATCTTTGATATTGTATTTATTTAAAAAAATGTCTTATTTAGAAACATAATATGTTATAGAAAGTAGTATAGGTTGGTCCAAAAGATATGTATGTATGTTTGTTTGTTGATAAGCCATAATTGCTGTCTTTTTGCTCCAATACATTTCTTCGACAGTAAAAACTTGATAGTTAATAAAAATTACAAGTATTATTTTATTTTAAATATACTTTATAATATACATAAAGTTTACCTGTTGTGCTTTCAGATTGGCGCAAAGTTCTTCAAATTCTGTTAATGAGATGCCATTCTTCCTCGCGTCGCCGTTCATGCTGCCGTTGACGCCGCGTCCGGTCTTGCCACCATTGTCGTAGTATTCTTCGATCATGCATCGCACCTATTGAAAAAATATATGTACTTATTTAAAAATATTTAGTTTCACACTATATCTCTTGAAGATATGACCAAAATTAACAAATTATCTCTGCTATGACTGTTCTTTCGATTTTTTATTTCTAGTAGATTCAACAATCTAAAAATAGATTTTTGATTAATTTTATCGTCAAAATATGCATAATGTCAATAAATTTTGTATGGTTAATTTAAATTATAGCCGATGCGATCGAACCCACGACTTAGGAATACGTCATAAAGCTACTCTACTTGGCATTTAGCCAAACGAATCAGAAAAGGTATTCGATTCTTTTAAATCTCATTATAGGGATATTCTTTAACGTTACAATCTAAAAGCTTGTTAAGTTATATCAAAACATGTCAAGTGTAATATAGAGGATACACTTTAACTTCCCTATTGTTCTACCTCTTATGTAGAGCGGAAGCTATGATAATGTGTACTTAAGACACATTACTTACAGAAGACTTTAAATATATTATGAAACAACCGTTTTAAAATGAAACTTCTTTAGAATCGTTGAAACTCGATGAAACGAAAATGCGTCACGACAAAGAGACAAACACATAAATATATGGGATTAAGCTTTAAATGTATAATAAGTGTGAATTGGACACACACACACACTTGCTCTACATCCTGAAATAAAAAATGTTAGTTTAAAATTACCTTCCATTGTGGAATTTTGTAGCCCACGCTATCGAGTGCGTCTTTCAACTCCTTCAAGTCAATATATCCATTCCCGCTTGTGTCCAGCTGTAACAAGATAAATTGGCTATTAGCACTTAACCTTAAATAAATAACTTATCAATCAATTATTAATAATAAAACAGACAGCGGTCTTAGTACTTTCTAGAATATTTATGCACTTATATTTTAACTTGAAATGTTCATAATATGATACGCAAATGTACATACATTTGCGTGCATTCAGCCCTTTTTAACGTCCCACTTTTGATCACAGGCCTCCCTTCAATACCATGGACCACCACGCTGGCCAAGTGCGGATTAGCGGACTTCTCATGTCTTTCGAAAACTTGCTAGGTTTTCTCAGACATGGAGGTTTCCTCTCGTTGTTTTCCTTCATCATAAAGCAAGTGGTAATCATGTCAGAAATGATTCGTACATGAAAGTAACAGAGGTGCGAGAGCCGAGATTTGAACCTGCTTCACTCGTCTTCCCAAGCGAGCGCATTACCACTGGGCTACCATAACCTTAAGACGCATAACGATCAATATAAATAGTTATAAATATTTACCAAGAGACACGCTTCGACTTGCGGGGATTTGATATTTATTCGAAATTATATAAAACACTACAATATTTTCCATTACGTCAATATTTTTCATTATTCTAAGGCCACAAACTGAAGTAGGGCAATGATTATTTCATTGGTTTAATTAAGTAAACAGTGGCTTCGACATAAATCTCTAGTTATTATTGTAGAGTCGTGCATTATTTATGATCATTCCGATCTATGTGTAACTGCAAATTCATGTAAATTACATATGTATAAGTAAAAATATATAGAGCTTATTCTTGGTGATGATATTAGATATATTTTTATTTAAATAAAGAAACATAAGAATTATGAAATCTTCTACTATGAAAAATATGTGAATTTGTATTTATACCATCGACTGTCCCCTACCAAGCCTGCACAATAAAGTATGCACAGTACTTGTAATTCGTTGCAGTATTCTCTCTATGTCCCAAGAGAAAGAGTATAATGATACAACACTTTTTGACATTTCTTACTTTTTCACAAGTATAAATATAAATGGTAAAGCGTCATATCTCATTTCGCGTATAGATTTACTTTATATATACATACTTTATATATTTTTATTTTATTAAAAATAAATGTATGGTAATTTTTATTACCATACATTAAGTGGTTCCCATGCGATTTAGTAGGTACATGGTAAAAGGTTACTAATCAAAACGCAGGTTGTAGTGGTTTTGAGAAGCAAGATAAATAAAAAAAAGTATAAAAAAAAGTTAAAAACCAATCCATTAAATCTTCTGGCCATATTAAATTTACAACTATTGTATTATTTATATCATACATACATATGTATGTATTAAAATTGAAAGGATTTAATTTAGCAAGCCTTGCTTTACCATTTTTGTAGCAGTAGTTCAAGTTTGTAAAATTTATGGTAATGTATAATGCAATGTTGTTTTTATTTTGGTATATGAAGTAGAGGTCCTTTCTGAGGTCATAATTACTTTACCAAACATGACAACCGGCGAAATATAATAAACCAAATTTATTATATGAGTTACTAACGACTCACCCTCGCTTCGCTCGGGTTCGTCCTTAGCTTGCTTTCCAGTACAAACTTTCATTCCCATTTTCACCCCCTTAAGGGATGATTTTCGGGATAAAAAGTATCCTATGTCCTTCCCAGGGTCTCAAACTATCTTCTTACCAAATTTCATCTATTTATCTATATAGATTACCCCTACAACCTCACAAACTTTACCTCTTTATAATATTAAGTAGGTACCTATCGATTTATAAGAGCAGTAATAATTTATAAGAAGTAATAAAATTCGTATTAGTCTATAATAGGAATTTTATGTTACGATTTTATTGGTTATCTAGACAAGGTTACATACGTGATAGATTTTTAAATACCACTTGTTAATATTTTATTAATGCATATTCTTGCTTTGCCCTTTTTCTCTTAACAATTGGGTGACAATCATACCGTATAACTTACCTATATTTTACACATATACTCGTAGTTAATAAGCTGTAGAGTAATATAGACTATTTTTTTATATAAAGTGATTTCCGTAGGATATCAATCAGTTTTACTATAGACTAGCGAATCACCCTCGCTTCGCTCGAGTTCGTCCCTAGGTTGCTTCCCCATACAAATTTCTATCCCCATTTTCACACTGTTAATGGATGATTTCCGGGATAAAAACTATCCTATGTTTTTTCTAAGGTCTCAAACTATCTACTTACCAAATGTCATCTAAATCAGTTCAGTAGTTTCGGAGCCTATTTAGTACAAACAAACAAATAAACAAATCTTTCCTCTTTATAATATTAGTATAGATAATGTATTTGTTCTAAATTCTTGTCTCGAGTGTGCGACTAAATTACTAAGTTGACCTTTGTATATAAATGCATATAATTGTATGTTTTATAATTTTCTCCTTTTATACAAGAATAGAGCAACGAGTCGATGCATAGAGATAATTTAAAAGTTGGAGAATTTTTGTTCCGGTGGGTCAAGTATTAGCCCTTTGATTTATAGTCTGCTGTAAATATATACTTAGGGATGCTTTAGCCATCATTTATTAATTACTAGCGGCTCACCCTCGCTTCGCTCGGGTTCGCCTCTAGAAAAACACTAATAGAGATTTATTAGTTCCCACGGGAACTGTTTATTTCTCCGGGATGAAAAGTAACCTGTTGTTTGACCGGCAATATACGGTATCAGAATGTTAAATTTTACTAAATTAGGTGCATAAGTTGTTGTGTACTAAGCTGTATAAGTTATTATAGATTTTTAACTATCCCACAGTAACTATTTAATTTTCCGGGATAAAAAGTATCTAAGATGTTGCCCGGGGATATAAGGTACCACCATGCAAAATTTCATTTAAATCGGTCCAATAGATTCGGAGATTAGCCCGTACAAACAGACAAACAGAGAAACAAAAAAATTGAAAATATCTGGATTTGTTCTATTTGTCTTCTTACATCGTCCTGACTCGGTTTTTAGCATTTTTTTTATATGTACAGACATTCGACCTCTACTCTTTTATTATAGTATAGAAAACCACATTTATAGGCATGTATTGTCATGCTGCCGTTATGACATCTCATTATTCTTCTCTTTTATCATCGTTCATCCCATTCTATTCTTAAAATCATATCATACGTCTCTATAGGACATATTATATATATATATATATATTTATATATATATATACACATAGTACATACATGTAATAAAATTCTGAGTCGAATTTGTATATTAAATATTTTTTTGGAAAATCTTATTGAAATAGTCATTAATCATTATCATAAAGGCCGAATGTACAGTTTTTAGAATTTTCGTGTCTGTCTGTCTGAGAAAGCATCACGCGAAATCCACAGGACAGATTTTGTTGACGATAGCTGGTTATTCGGGTCAACATATAGGATACTTTTTACTGCGTGAAAATATCTCATCCCTGAGAAATCTACACTAATCGTTAAAAATTAAAACGTGTCTATGCTATTTTAGTCTAAAAATATCATTTCACGAATACTTACAGTCTTGCAAATTCCACACGTATAAATTATAAAATATGGGTATAATGCTTAAACAGTATATTAATTATTGACTCCCAAGAACAATTATTAAGAAAATAAAAGTGAATTACCAACGACTAAGAAATTGAATGAAAATTCTCTTATTGTACTTTTCAATGATTCGTAAAAGAAAACTATCAATTGAAAGAGCACTCAAACAATTACACGTGTTTATATTATTTTTAATTCATCGTAATCGTATTATTTATTCATATCGATGATATAACCATGATAACATACCTATTAGGTATATCAATATCGACATTCTCTATTTATTTCAAATCAAATATCGTAAAAATTCTCTATTAAATTTAAGAAACTTAGGTTTTAGAACGTCAAAAATAACTCGACTACTCAACTAATTTGAGAATAAAAATTGGGTGGAGATAAGCACTTGCTGTTATTTCTATGAAAATGAAACCGAAATTAATAAATATTAACGAAGCTACGGTTCGTTTGCATCAAAATGTGGTAGCAAGGCCGTCCATTCGTAACTAGTTTAACATACACAAGCGAAACACTTGTTATGTAACCGTGAAAATGGTTGCATAATTAATGCAACATCGCATTAAAATTCAAATAGTAGAAAAATACTCAAAAGTTTTTAAATTATTGAAAGAAATCTTGAAATTTTAACTTATTAGACAACTTTTACTAAGAAAACTAGTACTGCATAGCACTTGAAATATCTAGATAGAAAGTAGACTGTATCACTAAATAAAACTATCTTCATACAGAAACTATCTATTATATTATATACAAGTTTTTACGAATAAAACCCCTATAAAGTAATAAATACACTTTCGTATTTATAACATATAAATAAAGATAATTAAAAGGCAAGTGTGTCGTAACATCGATCCCAATAATTCTTAAAAATTGCAGTCATATTTGAACATTGGTCATTTATTTCGCTTGAAGCGATTAAATGAAGCTGCAAAAGCGTAAATTATTTCGAAAGTTTTACAACGGCAATAAATCCTTAAGATTTTGGTAAAGATAATGCAGAAACATAACAAAAGCAAACTAATAACAAAAAGAACCTTATATGACGATAAATCAGTAATTATAATAATCTATTTAATTTAATTGTATACTTTAGTCTTATAAAGAAGTAAATTGCACTGCATATATGCAATATGTTGACATTGCATTCAACTCATATTGCACGATTTATTCCATATGTACATAAGAGTAATTGGAGACATGATAACCTTCGAGTTGTATCAGTATAATTGAAAAGAGCGCTGACCTATTAAAATGACCGGATGTGTATCATGTAGCTCTAGTTTTAGTTATAAGGTCATTATCAAATAGAGTGAAAGAGCAATTAATTATAGTGTTAAAAATATATTTATTACTTTTTATTCAGAGTTATCTATGATGATCTTTATATATATAATTAGCAAAACAACTTTCTGTGATTATAATTATG